TTTTGTTTTAGTATTTTGAAGTTGACCAATTGTTACTATAAGCAATTAATGATTATAGATGATCTGCACCGTATGATTTTTAGATACATTAAAACCATAAAATTGCTTCGCCTAAAAAAAGAAATAATGTTTTTTGTGTAATTTATGATACAAATTTGGATATGATCTGCTGATTAAACTTAATTTAATAAACATCAACCAAACCCCCTTTTTATTATTAAAAAATGTGTCAATCATCTATATACTTTATCACATAGCATGAATTAATTTTTTAAGAATAAGTTAATGTTTGTAGATTATCCTCTTTTTTTTATTGACAAAGAAATTATTAGAGCAGTGGAGCCAAATCCTGAAGTTGATGATTCTGATGAAGAGGAAGAAGTTATTTCTGATTAAATAGTTTAGAAAAGCGATTCAATATTTAAAAAATCCACCAGATAATTTTACATTAGCTATCAAGAATTAAAAATGATTAATAGTTTAAAATCAAAAAAATTCATAAACATGTTCAGGATAATGCAAAACAACTTATGTTAGACAGTTTTATTTCATAATATTTACTATGTATGTGTTGTACATGAATTTATTTGCATTACTAATAAAAAATTGATCTTGTTATAAGGGACTTTTCAATTTATTTATAATAAGTCCATTATAAAAAGGTTTTTCTTTATAGTGGACAAAAATTCCTGGAATCAAGTATACACTATAACAAGCTTTGATTGTAGATTACATTGAATGATATAGAAGCGCCAAATGATTGTAAGCCCCGGCCTAACAATAATAACCAGATATTTGATGGAATAACGGCACACATTATACTTGATAGAATAAATATAGATATAGTTATGAGATAGACATTTATTCTCGAGGAAAATCTATCAGAATATGCGGCCCATCCAAGTGGCTAATTAATTAACAATAACAATAATTAGAATGATTAGAATGCAGTATTTAAATCAATAATAACAATAATGATGATTGCTTACCGCAATTCCCATAACATACACATAAACTGAAACTAAATTTATTTATAATAAAATTAACTAAATTAATTAACAATATATAATATATATATATTAAAAATTTAGATTTTTTGTTACCTAATGCGTTAACCTGAATATCAGACACATTAAATTCTGTATGTAATTTTATTAATACAGGATACAAAATACTTTTTTCATAAAAAAGTTTAATAAATAAAGTTTGTTTTAATAAAAATAAAAATATACTTACGAACTAGATATTGGAGAAGTCATTGCAGTAAAAGAAATCACTAAAAGTATAATACGTTTTCTAAATATTGACCAATGTTTAGGATCATTATTGATATCCTGATCATTTAATGTAGTTGACAACGATTCATTATCACCATCTACAATAATAATGTTGCCTTTGTTATTCATCTTTGGGGATAAATTTTTTATTGTGGATCTTTGTAGGAAAAAAACCACATTTTACTGCTATTATATATACGTTTGGATTTTTGTTGACTTATTATGATAATTTCATTTTTAATTGACAAAAGAACACCGCATAAATAAAATTATAATAATTAATGCATTTTTTCATTCTTTAAACTTTCATTTTACTCTCATTATTTAGTAGATCTATCCTTCTCCACAATACCATATTTTCGTTTGTTTGTTATTTTTGAGTGACATGTCAAATTATCTGATTATCATTATTACGATCAGTATTTTAATATTTAAATAATATAGAAATAAGTATATTTGGCTTATGTATTCTAATAATATCTGGTAAATTTATTTTTCCTTTTTGATATTCTTTTTATCTGTATTTGTTCTAGAGTTCCAAATATAGTATCGAATATATTAAAAATATACTAAATTCATACGTTCAATAAACTCAATACGCATCTTATCTTTGGACGTAGAAAATCAATTGTTTTAAAAGTACTTTTTAATTTATTCATTTATGTAGATTGTAGATCATTGATACAACTAAAAACAACTTATTGAAAATGAATTCAACAAATAACATCAATTTATTAAATATACTAACAAATTTTCAATTCAAACGAATTTAGTAACGCAATAAATTAAAATCCGGTTTAAATCCGGTTGCTATTACATAATAATAATTTCAAATTTTTTATTTTTGATAGTAAAATCGTGCAATTTCAAACCCTAAGGCCTTTTTTTTATTAACAAAATTGAAAAAACGTTCTATTGCATTGTTGCTTAGGTTCTAGAGATTGTAAAAACATAGATTTTTTTCTGCTTCCAAATATAATTATCGAGCCTTAGCCTTTTAAAGATTGGCTTTTTTTTATGTATTGTTTATTTTTTGTAATTCTTAAAAAGGCAATTTTGAATTATTTGTTCAAAAAAAGTCATTGACCAATTTAATCAATTGTAATTGCATTTTAATTAATTGTGGCTGCAGTCAGTAGAGATTCAATTCCGTACACTATTTTTTTTGCTCCGTACATTTTTTATTTTTAATTTTTTAATTTTGTACGGAACGGAATTTGTGAATTTTGAAAAGTTGATTGGTGGAGGCCAGTCCGTTTTTTATTTTTAATTTTGTACGGAACGGAATTTGTGAATTCTGAAAAGTTGATTGGTGGGGCCAGTCTGTACGATCTTCGATTCCATATTTTTGTTTCATACAGAGCATTTTTTTACTACAGAGGCGTAAATGTACGGGAATACGGAACCTCTATAGACTCTTTGTTTTACTGTGGAAATGTGTTTGTAAATCTAATGTTAAGGCTTAGAATCTAATTCATGAAGGAAGGGATTTTAATAGAGATAATCGGATGTAAAAATTTCTTTTTTTTTTTTTTCTTTTTGCTGTTATAAAGTCATATGGCACTTATATTCCAATAAAAAAACAATTAAATATTACAAATAAATCTTTTTCTTTATCTTTCTTGATCCGTTATTTTTTTAGAAATTCCGCTAGTATTTTTATCATCAAAAATTATTTTAAATTTTTGCACTATTGCAGAAGTGCGCGAAGAAAAAAATTAGCGGAAGCTTCAATTGTAAAACATCCATGGAAGAAATATTTAATAGGAGACTGTATTTGTTTCAACTATAAAATAAACATTTTTATATAATAATATACTTGCTATCTATTTTAAACGGAAATAAATAATTGCATCGCCCAATCAATAATAATTCGAAATTAAACTGTAAGAAGCCGATTTAATAATATCCAAGTTAGAGGAGAGCAAGAGAAAATAAAATTATTTTCCCTTCCAATTTTATAGATTGCAAGTTGCAGAGTTCCTTAAAAACCATTCCTACGTCTATGCAAGTACTTCTTCCTCCTTGTTTTAATTTGGTTCATATTTAAATAGTGGTATTTTTCAGTCGTTGGCAGATTGGTAACTCGCTTTCATCAGGAAAATAAATCTCATGTAAACCTACGCAGGGTTTAAAACTGACCAGCATTATGCGGAAATGTTAACAGA